TTTATGTACCGGTAACAAATTTACAATATTTGCACACCATAGAAGGCCAAGAACTCTTCATTGCAATTTCATTGTAAATTCAACAAAACCTATTATCGTATTCCAGGGTATTATTTTGCATATGGATGTTGTTATTGATTTTTAGAATTACACTTTTAACTCATAAGCATAAATAAAAGAATTAAAAACATTTATATAGATATGGAATTAGTACTACCCATGTGTAATGCACATCCATATTTTTCCTTCACAAATTTGCGCAAAAATGTGTGCATTATACAAGTCAAAATATGGTAATTAGCCATATTTGAGGATCATTTTCCTTATTGTGAAAGAGAGTAGTATCTAGGGTAGCTTGAGGAGGCCTGCACAGAGTACATACTCATTGTATGCTGTACTCAGGTATTAACTAGTAGTACAGTGCCCAGCACCTGGTGGGTGTTCAACAGATGTGAATGAACTGCAGGCTCCTAAAGGCAGCAATTCTCTCCCCAGTCACCCAACTCTTCACCGCCAAGAAACCCACTCCCCTTGCTAGATACTCAGTCCTTTCCTGGGTTTCCAAACGCAGGCAGCCTGCCTCATACCAGGAAGGCTGACCCACTGGAGCTTTTCCCCACTACAGGCCACCTGACTTGCTACTTTAGGAAAGCAGCTAAAGCCCTTTAAGAGGCAGTGAAACTAAAAGGCCAGGTTGCTTTTGATTGAACTTCATTGGCTTGAGTCCAGATCTGGGTGTAGAATACAAAGGGTGAGGGACACTTGGGCGTATGGCTTCTGGAGGTTAAGAGCTGTCCCAGAGCTCAAGTCAACTCAGGCTCTTGCCAGAGTTCTGGTGGCTCCAAGGTTTTGTTTTGTGGTTTAATTCAGGCTGAGATAAGCTCATTATAATAAGTACAGTGATTTATGGGTTCCATGGTTACAATACCATTACTTTTTCCCTGAACCGTTTCTCTCTCTTTTTATTTTCTTTCCTGTTGTGTGTGTGAGTGTGTGTGTGTGTGTGTGTGTGTTATTAGTTTCAGGTATACAAAGCAATGTAATAGCTAGACATTTACACCCCTCACAAAGTGATAACCCCTCAATCTATTACCCCTCTGACATCGTATACATACCCTGTTACAATACCCTTGACTATATTCCCTATGCTGTACTGCACATCCCATGACCATGTGTGTATATATATATATATATATATATATATATATATATATATATATATATAATTATAGTTGACATTCCATATTATTCAACTTCAGATGCATAGCACAGTGGTCAGACATCTACAGTCTATGAACTGATCTCCCTAATAAGTCCAGTGCCCATCTGGCACCCTAGATAATCTTTACAACATTATTGATTATATTCCTTAAACTGTATTTCATATCCCTGTGTCTATATTGTGACCACTAATTTGTACTTTCTAATCCCTTTACCTTCTCCTCCCCCTTCCCAGCCCCCCTCCCATCTAGCAACCATCAGTTTTTCCCCCCTATGTACCTGAGTCTATTTCTGTTTTGTTTGTTGATCTATTCTGTTCTTTAGATTCCACATATAAGTGAGATCATACAGTATTTGTCTTTCTCAGTCTGACTTACTTCATTTAGCATAATCTCTAGAACCATCCATGTTGTTGCAAATGGTAAGAGTTCCTTCTTTTCCATGGCTGAGTAATACTCTGTTGCATAAATGTACCACAGTTTCTTTATCCAATCATCTATCGATCAGCATTTTGGTTGTTTCCATGTCTTGGCTATTGTGAATAGCACTGCAGTAAACATAGGGGTGCATGTATTTTTTTCAAATTAGTGTTTTGGATTTCTTTGGATAGATACTCGGTCCCTGAACCTTTTCTAAGAAAAAAAATTAAGTCTACAGAAAAGTTGAAAGTTTTCTGTGGGTTCATAAATACAATGAAGACGTGTAACCCTTCACCTAAATTCATTAATTGTTCATGTTTTGCCACATTTGCACACATGGTCTCTCTTAGATTTCTTTTTGTTGAGTAATTTTTGTTGACAGTAAGTAGCAGACATGATGACATTTCACCCTAAAATCTTCAGCATTCATTACCTAAGAATGAAGACATTCCATGACAAAATAGCAATGACATTTTTCACAGAACTATTATAGAACAAATAATCCTAAAATGCATATGGAACCATAAAAGACCCCAAGTGGCCATGGCAATCCTGAGAAAGAACAACAAAGCAGGAGGTATCATGCTACCTGATAATCAAATTATACTGCAAGGTAATAGTAATCAAAACAGCATGGTACTGGCATAAAAAATAGGCACATATGTTAATGGAACAGAATAGAGAGCTCAGAAATAAATTGATGCCTATATGGTTATTTAATCTATGGCAAAGGAAGCAAGAACTTACACTGAGGTAAGACAGTCTATTTAATAAATGGTGCTGGGAAAACTGGACAGATACGTGCAAAAAAATAAAAGAAACCAGACCACCTTCTTATGCCATGTACAAGAATAAACTCAAAATGGATTAAAGGCTTAAATGTAAGACCTGAAACCATAAATTCCTTAGAAAGAAATATTGGAAGTAAACTCTCAGACATTACCCTTAGTAATATTTTTATTGATATATCTCCTCAGGCAAGGAAAACAAAAGAAAAAATAAACAAATGGGACTACATCAAACTAAAAAGATTTTTCACAGCGAAGGAAACTATCAACAAAACAAAAAGACATCCTACTAAATGGGAGAAGATATTTGCCAATGATACATGTGATAAAGGGTTAATATCAAAAATTTATGAAAAAAAACTCATACAACTCAATACCAAAAAAACAAACAATCCAATTAAAAAATTGGCAGAGCGGGCCGGCTGAGTGGCGCGATGGTTAAGAACTCGCTTGGGATGCCAAAGGGCCCCGGTTCCGATCCCACATATGAGGGCCAGTGACACTGCCCTCTACAGCTAAGATGCTGAACAACAGCTCAACCTGGAGCTGGGCTGCCATGAGTCGCCGGCAAAGGCGTAGGCTGCAACCACTGCTGCAGCGGGCTGCCATGGGCGGTAGCCAGCAGCCAGCATGAGTGGACAGCAGCCACCATGACTGGCCGTCCAGAAGCCTGCAGCTGATCTGCCTCGCCCTGGAAGAGCGCAATGATGGTGCCAACTTGGACCAGTGAAGCAACATCCTCCACAACTAGATTGAAGAACGAAACAACAGCAACTTGTCTGTTCCCCTTCCCCCAATTCCCCAGCACTGTTCCCATCCCCCCAATTCCCCAATTAAAAAAAAAAAATTGGCAGAGGACCTGAATTGACATTTCTCCAAAGAGGACATACAGGTGGTCAATAGACACATGAAAAGACATTCCATGACAGAGCCACAACCCCATATCACCTAGGAAAATTAATAATTCAAAAATATCATCTAATATTCAGTTCATATTTAAATTTTGTACTTATTTCCAAAATATATAGTTACTGTTTTTAACCCAAAATGTAAGTAAGGTAGATAGATACCTTACATTTGGTTGCTAATGTCTCTTTAGTCTATTTTAACCTAATATAGTACCTTACCTTTCTTTGTTTTTCATGACATTGATTTTTTTCTATCTCATACAATGTTCAACATTCAAAATTTGGCTGATTGTGTTCTCATAGATTCCAGCTGACCATTATTTTAAAAAAATCATTTGTTTCATTAAAAAATAATAGTAATATGTGCATAGTGAAACAATTTTAGGACTTTAGAAATATGTAAAATATAAAGTAAAATTTTCTATTTTCTTCTGCCTACCAGGCTTTTGCCCTAAAAGTACACATTGGAAGCGGTTAACAGTGTATCCCTCTAGAAAAATAAATCCCTTTGCCTGAATATATAGCTATATATATAATAGATCTGTTTTTCCATCATCTGACTCCTTTTCAAGCTTCTACCCATGTGATAATATTATAACTATTATTTTTCACCTTGTTTTTTTGCTTATTTTATCTTAAATGATGTGCCACAACAATACATTTAATTGTTTTTACATTTTAAACATCTGTATAGTTTTTCATTATATGGATGTACCATAATTTGACCAGTTTTCTATTGATTGACATTTAGGTTATTTCTAGGTTTTCTTTTTTCTGTTACAATAATGTTGCAACAAACATCCTTGAACATACACATGCTATATTTTTGTGATATGGTAAATTCATGTAGGTGGGCTAAAGGGTGTTTGCATTTAAAACTTGGACAGCTTTATGGCTCCATCCACTTTCAAGGTGCCAGAGGGAGTTGGGCTGCAGTGCTAGACACAGAATCCTTTTTAAGTAGCATCCAACAAACCAAGATGGAAAACCCAACTGTAATTCTAAGTTTTTCAGCAAAATTACAGCTGTGTAGATTGAAAATTATTCCCATGAAATGAGTATGTATATGTATATATGTATGCTAAGTCCACGAAGTTTCACAGACCAAATTGCATTCACAGATGCATTTTTGGGACATGGGTACAAGAATTGAACAAAGTATCTATTCATTGTGTAGTAGTCCATTTTATTCATGGGGGATAGTTCCAAGACCCCCAGTGGTTACCTGAAACTGTGGATAGTATTGAACCCTGTATATACTATGTTTTTTCCTATACACACATACCTATGATAAAGTTTAATTTATAAATTAGGCACAGTAAGACATTAACAAAAATAATAATAAAAGAGAAGCATGTTACAACTTCTCTTTGGCATATATGAATTGCCAGCATCACTGCTCTTGCACTTGGGGGACATTATTAAGTAAAACAAGGGTTACTTGAACACAAGCACTGTGATGCCACGACAGTCAACCTGATAACTGAGGGGGCTATTAAGTGCCTAATGGGCTGGTAGCCTATACAGTGAGAATGCGCTAGACAAAGGGGTGATTCATGTCCCGGGTGGGATGGAGCAGGATGGTGCGAGATTTCATCATGCTACTCAGAACGATGTGCAATTTAAAACTTACAAATTGTTTATTTCTGCAATTTTCCATTTAGAATTTTCAGGCTTCCGTTGACGATGGGTAACTGAAACTGAAGAAAACAAAACTGTGGCTAAGGAAAGACCACTGTATTGTTTTTAAGAATTGGAGGATGGACCTTTTTGAAACATACGAGTACTGAAACAATAAAGTGGAACTGGATGCACGGAAGGGTTGCCAAAGAGAACCTGGTGACATAGGTGGGATGATATGACTACTGAGAAAACGTTTTCTTATGTGGCTACATAAATTTCTGACCCCCAATCAGGGCAGAGGGCTCACTAATCCCCAAAACTAGACCTTCCTAAGTTGTCAACAATACTACTATACCAGAAGAAAGCCAGCTGTTAGTAGAGGGAAGGCCCAAGAAATAAATTTCTGTGATTTTATTGACTCATCCCCACACACCATATAAATTCATCAGGGTATTGTCACACCTTTTCAAATCAGTAAAATAATTTTGTAAAAAGCAACATTCTATCTATATCCTGGCATAGAATGCTCTAAGATATACTGTTAAGGGGGGAAAAGCAAGATGAATTAAAGCATGTATAGTATGTTACAATTTATCTAAGAAAATATATACATTGCTTTAAAAAAAATGAGAAAAAGTAAATACCAAAACATCAAAAGGCCAGTAAACCTGTGAAAAAAGTACTGAACATCATTAGTCATCAAGAAAATGCAAATTAAAATTACAATAAGATAATACTATACACCCATCCGAATGGCTAAAATTAAAAAGACCAGGTTGAGGGTTGGCCGAGTGGCTCATTGGTTAAGAGTTGGCTTGGGAGACTGAGCTCTGAGCTGCAGGGCCGCTGGTTCGGATCCCACATGAGCCAGTGATGCTGTGCCCTCTACAGCTAAGATGGTGAACAACAGCTTGACCTGGAGCTAGGCTGCCATGAATCGCCAGCGACGGCGTAGGCTGCAGTGGGACTGCAGTGGGCTGCCTTCAGCTACCGTGAGCGGCTGTGAGCAGCCGTCCAATGGCCGGCGACCAATCTGCCTCACCGGGGAAGAGCGCAATAATGCCAACATGGGCCAGTGAAGCAACGTCCTCCACACCTAGACTGAAGAACAAAAGGACAGCAACTTGTCTGTTTCCCTTCCCCGATTCCCCAATAAAATCTTAAAAAAAAAAAAAAGAATCTAAGCAAATTATTTTAAAAATAAAATACAAAGACCAGGTCGAATACCAAGTGCTCGCAAAGATGAGGTGCAATAGGAACCTTTATGCACTGTTGGTGGGAATGTACAATAATGCAACCATTGTAGGAAACTGGCAGATTCTAATAAAAAAAAATTGAAATATGAAACTTCCTTCTAGCTAGTGGTGTGCTTGTCCGTCTTTAACAACTGGCTCTGGGAGTGGAGGAGAGGGAAGTCCTGATTTGTAACGTGGCATAAATATTCCCACCATGGCTGATTTTAAGCTAACACGAAGTCACTAAAAGTAGAGTTGGGAAGAAATTTGCATATTCAGCCCCAAGGTGTACAAGCTGGTTCCCGAGCAACTCTGCCAATGACCAGCAATTCCGCTTCTGAGTACACACCCAAGAGAAATGAATGCATAAATCCACAAAAAGATGACTTACATGAGAATGTTCTTAGCAGCTTTATTCATAATAGACAAAAACTAGAAACAATGCAGAAATCTATCAACAGGTGAAAGGATAAACAAATTGTGGTGTATTAATATTAATACGATGGAATACTACTCAGCAATAAAAAATAATGAACTAGTACAACAGTATGGATAAATCTCAAGCACATTATGTTAATTGAACCAGCTACAGCAGAGTACACTCTGTATAGTTAGTTCCATTTATGTGAAAGTCAAGGATGAACCAAACTAATATCTAACAGTAGCTGTTTCTGGGATGGGAGTTGCATCTTGGAGTGGGGACAAGTTACTTTCTGGGTGTGATAGAAGTATATTTTGTCTTGATCTGGTTACATGGGTGTATATATTTGTCAAAATTTACCAAGCTGTACACTTACATGTAAAGTCACTTCAATAAAGTACTTGTTGACATTAAACAATAAAAACTGTTTTTTTTTTCATTTCAAAAAAAGAAGTCATGTTTTTTAATGGTTATCTAGAGGGATGGAGGAAACTAAAAAGAGACAGGGTAAAAAACGCTGGATTTCTCTGAATATACCTTGTTTTATAGGTTTGATTTTGGACTCATGAGAATAGTTTACATAAAAATATAGACTAAATTAAATCAAAATTGAAAAAAAAAGGTAATTTCCTAAAATCAAAATCAAAACAAAACAAAAAATGTTTCTAATTATTGAGTTGGTTGCCAACCACACAGAGAGGAATTATTTCAAGAGACTTTTAACAGAGGAAGTTGTAGTACATACATCCTAGAGGGACATATTATAAGGCAAAAAGAACTCCAAAAAATTCTTAAACTTTTCAATATTCATGTTGTTAGTAATAATATTGATATTCTTATTCTGAAACTTAGCTATGTATTATAAGATAAACCAAATAAGTAATTATGTTAATGTTAATAGAAACCAAGAATTTTACCATAAGAGAAATGTAAATATAGAATAAAAACCTTAGTAAACCTTCTGTAATCTTAAATTTTAATAGAAAATATTTGTATAAACTGATGATGCATTTTCTTATTTTGAAAAATCTCTTTCCTAACTCTTAAAAGATCTAGAAATAGTGACCAATCAAATGCAATGCATGCCCCTGGTGCCAGTTTATAGTCTCTAAATATTATTTCCCACTAATGGAACCAGGGCTCCTTGGGGAAATGGATGGTTCTGGTCTGAGATAGAAAATACACATGATGAATCTGGAATATCACAATATACCCAGAATTCCTGGGGCCATGTCAAAAGGACTCAGAAATCAACATGTCAAGGCTCTGGCTCACTGACCACAAATGGGACAATTTAGACATGAATATGAATAACTGAAAAGGATTGAGACACATGAATCATGTTGAAAATTCACAAGTTCATAATGAGACTCAAAAAAAAAAAATAAACACCGTCGTTCACCTTTGGATGATACTGGGGAACAAACTCATTGTTCTGAAAACAGGCAAATAAAGAGAAAAAAATATACCTTCGCCACCTGAATTGAACTTTAGGGTAACCAAATACCCTAAATGTGTTTTTTTTATATAGGAGTATTCCAGCCAATAATTAAGAAGGAAAATCATAATTTTGCAAGCCCCTAAAGAAATAATGGTTCTAGGCAATGATGATCATATTAGTTTCCTGGGGCTGCCACAACAAAGTACCACAAAGTGTTGACGGGACTGTGCTCCCTCTGAAGCTCTTGGCGAGGATCCTTTCTTTCCTTTTCTAGCTTCTGGTGTTTGCTGGCAACCCTTGGCATTCCTTGACTTGTGGATGCAACACTCCAGTCTCTGCCTCTGTGGTCACGTGGCCATCTTCTCCTTGAGTCTGTCTGTGTTCAGATGTTCCTTCTAAGGGCTGAATTAGGGCAGGCCTCACTTTAACCTGATTATATCCACAGGTGTGGGGGTTAGAACTTCAACTTATCTTTTTGGGGGACACAATTCAACCAATAATAATTATCAAGGGCAGCTAGTATGACAGAAAGGCACAGGACATTATATATTATTGCCAAAGGAGTAGACCCAAATCAGACCAAGTCTAGATCTAATTAGGATCAGGAAACAGCAGGGACAGAAGAGCACGCTAAAAACGACACAGGCACGTAACTGGCAAAATCCAGAATGTGGGACATTCTGCAGGACCAACTACTTGGTTTCTTCAATCAATAACTTGCAAGGAAAAATCAGAGGGAGAAAAACCTATAAATTAGAATGGATGTAATAGACCTAACAACCAAATCCAATGTACAGATCTTATTGGGAAATTTCCGTACTTACTAGATATTTAATGATATCAAGGAATTATTATTAATTTTTAAAAACATACCTTGATATGGTAGTAGTGTTTAAAAAAAAGAGAGTTTTTTTAACTTATCGGAATATATACCCTTGGATAAAATCACTTGATATTTGGAAGGTGGAAGGAGAACTGGGGATGGCTTAGGTGTGAAATATTTAGGATTAGCCGTGTTAATTAATGAAGCTTGGTGTTGGATACATGCCGGCTCAGTATACTATTTTTCTATATGCTGAAATTTTCTAGCATATAAATTTATAAAAATAAAAATACAGTATGTTAACTCAGTGTTTCTCAACTTGGGGCAGTATCAGAATCTATCTTCTGAAGACATCTCCCTCCCCAGACTCACGGAGAGCTACTGTTGGATATACTTTTTGTAGGCTATTGAGTTTCTCTTTTCAAAAGTATCCACTGGAACTTGATTGCTGAGGAAGAAATTTTGTTTGTTAGAAGTTTCTGGCTAGCTGACAAAAATATTTTTCATTAGGCAAGAAAGGAATTTTAAAAACTTCTTTTATTATAAAAGTGCTATATACATACACAGGGTAAAAAGAAAGTCCAAGAAGTGCCCCAAAAGTAAGATCACTTTTCCCTTCCCCAAAATTTCTGCTGTTTCAAGTTTCCTGTGAATCACTCTAGACATTTTTCTAAGCATATACAAAAATGAACATGATTTGGACCTTACTGGAAATACTATCTGCAACTTGTTTTTGTTTTTTGTTTTTTTACTCAGCAGTACATCTTAGAGAACTTTCACAGCAGCAAATACAGATTCTCCTCTTTTTTATTTCACTACATGAAAATACCATGATTTATTTCAGTCCCCAACTGGCAAGCATTTCCCCCCCCCAGCTATTTCCTCTTTCAGGTAATGCTGCAACGCACCTTCTTGTACACACATAGAAAAGGAATTTTGTTGAAAATCTGTATCTCCTAAGAAAACCCCTTCTTCATTCTTCCAGCTCGGGACAGGAAGCGCCCTGTGGTGTGAAGCAATCACGCAGCAAACCTGGACCTAGAAGCTGGGCGGTCGCGAGAGTCCCGGCTCCCAGAGGCGCCGAGACACCGGGCGACAGCAGCGCTGAGGCTCAAGCGGACAGCTGCCCAGGCTGAGGGTTGCGGATGTGCCTCCTGAGTCCCCTGTGTATAACGCCCCAAAGCATCGGCATGAAGTCATTAGGTAAATCCGCTGGCTTTGAAGGAGTCTGGGGTTAAGGGATGTTAGATTTACTTGCATGCAGCAATTTTTCAGGTGGTGGTTTGTTTAAAGTTATGACGCTAAAATGATAATGTGGTCCAATGCCTCTGGTAGCTAAGAGCAGCTCAGTGCCTAGCGTTTTCTCTGAAAGGCAGCAGGATGAGTGGGTACCCAGAGTAAGCTTTTGTTTTAGTTTATTCTTTTATTTTTTTAAAAAAGTAGTTTGTGTTGAATTCTCTGGAAGCCCTTTGTATCAGTGAGGCTTTTCTTTTCTGCCACGTGGAACTTTATGTGGGCATCTCTTGCCAGAAATGGGAATTTCCTGGCAAAGAAGAGAGGCAATTTGAGTAACCCCGATACAGACAAGTATAGTCACTTCAATAAAGCTTGTCAGGTGTCATTGAAGATGTGTGAGAAACCAGATAGAAAGCTATAGAAAATGCTCTTTAAAAAAGTATTCTCCAGTTGATGTCGTTAGTGAAGCTTTTGCCACCCGATCCCCTGAGCTGGATAAGTTCAGGCCAAGGCTTCACGAAGGAGAGTTTTGTTAGACCCACAGGGAAAAGGTTTGGGGGATGGTCTGTGTCTCAGGTCAGGCTGTGTGGGGCTTCTAGCTTGGAAAATGAGTATTAGGGCTCAGAGCAAAATGCACATGACATGTCTCCTCTTTTAAAAATTCTTAGTGTGGCTGTTATTTGAAAAGTAGATAAAGGTTTATTTGCATAGTCCCTCGACTGAAGAGTATATTTTGGAGTGGCTCCTGTTGCTCTCAACTCCCTTGGTGAAATTTGGCCAATCAACAGTTATTAGAAAACAAGCATGGAAACTTGCACATGGCTCACCATGTCTGCGGGATACTGGGATGCAGTCCTTTCCCCCCTTCCCCAGTAAATATATTTTGGTAACGAAAAAAAAATAAAAGAGGAAGAAGAAGACTAGTGTATGCTTATTTGGAAGGGGTCAGTAACGTTCTTGTTCACCTGACATATCTGATGTTTCCATATGGCATTTGGCTTAAGAACAGAAGGTACTAAAAAAGCGTTGCACTAGTGGGACTTGCGTGGGATTCAAGTGAGGAATGAAGTGGAGGGTGGTGGGGAATGGGTTGATTCTTGGGAAAGGTTTGGAGGACCACCAGAGGAGATGCCGGATGAGTTGGTTATAAGTAGAGGGCAGCTCTGTTTTGTTTTGAAAATTAACATTAAGGAAAAACGAGAAAAGAGGAAAAGAGCTAATGACGGCATGTTGTGCTGGTGTGGGTGAATAAACTGATACAGGAAACGCTGGTCAGCCTGGGCACGGGGCTCTAAACACAGTTTACTGCTGATTGCCAGGACCAAGGTCAGAGATTGTAGTGAGCAGGGCCCAGAGCAAACGAGTCTCCAGGTTTCATGGGGTTGTGGAAAAAAATTCTGTGCAGAGATCAAGTGGATTTGGTCCCAAGTGAGAAGGACTCTGATTCTCTAGGCATTCATCCCGGGAAGCTTTCTGTTTGCTGCCCTCCCCGCCCCCTTTCTCTCCCCTGCCCCATCTGCAGGGGTGTCCCATTTCCTATCACCTGTCCAGTCTCCCTGAACAGCTTTTACATTCTGAACTAGTTCAGTTCCATAGAGAAGCTTTTGTTAAGCATTCATTAGCTTGTAAGATTTTTTTTCACCCTATGAAATTCTCTCAAGCCTTCTGACATTGTCAAGTGCCTCAGTGATTGGGTTTGAACAACTGTGACCTTCAGCTGCCTGAAGATGTGTAATGCCATCCCTGTTGATTGTAGATTCAAACTTAGGGATCTTTTCAGTCAACAGGAGGAAATACTAGAAAGGGGTATAGAGCCCTCCCTTCCTGCCTTTGGTGTCTGTAAGCTAAGCCTTGTTCTTCCAAGTAAGCTGCTTCTAGTCAATCTTGATTCTAGTTCCTTTAAACAGATCAATTTCCTAAAGAGGTAAAATAACAAGGTGCCTGATTTAGGAGTTAGAAAACCTGGTTCAGTGTTGCATCTACCACTGATTAGCCATGGGCCCTTTGGCAACTCTTTCAGTTTTCCCCCTTTAGTAAAAATGAAAGGGTTGAATGGAGATGCACCAAGATTTCAACAGCACGAAAGGAGGGGCTGAAACAGACAAGATTAAATTTAAAACAAGATTAAAAGTAAAAGAATTAAATTTAAAACAAAGTTAAAGCGGGGAGAGAGCTAATATTGCTATTCCTATAGAAAAAGTTCAGTTGCCCCTGATGTGAATCAAGAATGAGCTGTGGCTACCAGAATAGCTCACAATCACAGGCAGCACCCATAGATGCTCAGCTTCCAGAATAAGAAAGGTGAGAATCCTGCTTTGCTCTGCTCTCATCTGGCTATGGCATCTCCTGCTTCCAGTCTCACATCTGCCTCCAATCCTTTCTCCAACTTGCAATCAGGCTGCTTGTTCTTAAAATCAAAATTTGATTGCCATTCTCCTGCTTACGAACCTTCAAGAGCTCCCTATTGCTCTCAGAATAGTCTCATCCAATGTCCTTCATGGTCTGGCCCACTCCAGCCTATGTCTTGTTTTCCACTGACTCACAACCCTGACTCAGTAGTTCCAAACCAAAGCAGTTCCCAGAACTGGTTCTTCTCTCTCTCCTGTCTCGAGTGCAGTTTTCAACACACACACACACACACACACACACACACACACACACACACACACACGCGTGTGTGCATGCACACATGTGCACTCGCATACATACACATACATGCACACACACCCCTCTACCTGTCAGCTTCTCCATCCTCTGGGCTTTCAGGGCCTCTGGGCTTGCTTCTGTCATAGCACTTCCCACACCATATTGCAATTGCTTGAGAGTACTCCCCACTCCCATCCCAGGACAGTAAGCCCCTCAAGACAGAGATGTTTATTTCTGTGCATTCTCAGCATTTACTACCTACCTCATAGGCAGTCAGTGAATATCTGTAGAATCAACAGAAGGCTAGGGGAACAACTGACAAAGCCAAGTGTATTCAGAGTAAAAAGGATGGTGAAAGCTATGGAAATAAGGGTGAATGACAAAAAACTGAAGAACCCTAAAGAGTTTAGCCTGGAAAAGAGAGCATCAAGAGAGACACAATAACTTGCCTTCATGTCAAGGGCTTCCACAGGAAAGTGGTATACGATTTACTCTGGGCTCTGCAGAGGGCAGAATTAGACCCTCTGTTGGGAGCGAGATGGACATGGTGCAATCTAAGAAGCAGCATTGGGGAGCACTATGACATAATATTTGGGAACATTTGGTGGAGGAAGGGTACCTTGCAGAGAAGTGACGGCTTCTTGGAAACCTAAGGAGCTCACTGGCTCTGACGGCCCCCAGCACCATTGCAGGAGTATGGTTAGAAGGATTCTTGTGCTGGTTGAGGTATTCACTCCCATAACGTTGAAACTCCTGCAGAACATAGATTCTAAGGTCTGCAGGCCCCTGACAGCTCTACAAGTCTGTGATTCTCTCATCTAGGCCATACCACCAAACAATTTAGAAAACTGAACAGACATTCTCATATCTGACTTCTCTTCCTTCGCAGCTTTAGAGTATTTTACCTGTTACATATCCACCCAGGATGCCTGGTCTACTTAATTGTCCCACTGGGAAAGGATATAGGGACATGGGGAAGTTATATAACCTGTCCTAGTGCTTGCAGGTAATAACACGAGGCGGAAGCTTAATAGGAAACGGAACTCTTTAAGTCCGAGGCATTAAAGCAGATGGCTTTTCCAGGTCCCTCATGACTTCATGAGCCAAATTGTCCTATGCAGGGTCATGTTTCTTACCATTTTGCCTTAATTGCACATCTAAAGTTCAAGAACACAGCATAGCAGAGTGGCTATATGGGCTCTGGAACTAGATTGCTTGTGTGACCTCAGGCAAGTCATTTAATCTATCTGTGACTAACTCAGTTTCTTCATCTATAAGATGAATATAATAATAAAATTAACCTTATAGGGTTGTAAGGATAAAATGGGAACACAGTACATGGGTATATTAAGTACTTTATATTGCCTAGTATCATTAGTACTATACTGGATGAGGACAGACTTGGGAATAAAGAGAATTGATTTCTCATTCCAGTGCTAAAGGTATAGTGCAGTGGTCTTCTGCTGCCTCCACATAGCCTCAGAAGTTCCTCAGAGCTCCCACTGAGAGCCTGGGCTGGATGTAAGGGACGCAAGATGACAACCTTTGGCACAGAAGAACAAAATGGGGGTATTGCACTCAGATGGGGCTCATGTGCTGCTGTCTGTGGTCCTGAAACAATTTGTTAATTATCTAGAAAACTGAGGGTGGGTGGGGGATGCACCTGTAGACCCATGTCCTTTTCCCCCCACCCCCATAATTCCCTGCATATGGATAGTCTTCCCACCAAATGGAATTTGGATAAATTACTGATAACTTTTGAATCATTAATTTCTTTGCCTTTGAATACAGGTAATTCCCATCCTCTGATGCATTCACAGGGGTGTTGCCAGGTTACATGCCATCCTATATATGTAATCCCTCCCCACCTGATGCCTGCCCAAGGGACACAGGCAGAAAGGGCAACATAGTGGCAACAAACCTATTTTTGAATCTGAGCTCTCTCATAGTAGAGTCATTGGAACTCCAAGCCCACTGAAGGCACAGCCCAGCTTCTGCTGACAGAGTCTCAGGGGCCTCACACAGTTTTTAGCAACCGTTCATGTTCCTGAGGCTGGGATCAGAGCTACACTCTACTCTGTCTCCAGGTTGGCCTATATTGGCCATCACTGTCTCTGTTATTGCTGATGCTGTACCTCTTTTGTGCTACTCTTCACTGGGAACAGGGCAGGCTCTCCTCAACCAAGGGTGCAGCTCTTCTGTTAGATGCCTTGAAGGGTTCTCTTGCTGTTTCAACTTGGAATTTTTGTCAAGGACTTGGGATCGATTCCTAGTGGAGCCTGGGCCAAGGGACACTTGAGACACCACCCAGCATCTTGCTC